TCTATTCTCATACATATAGCAGTATTCCATGTCTGTACTTACCATAGTCACATCCATACAGTTCTATTCTCATACATATAGTAGTATTCCATGTCTGTGGAGTAACTCTAATATGTCTGACTGTTAGTGGATGACTCAGCCATTGCCCTCTTACATTTTCCTTGTCAGTATTTCCTTCGAGTATCTGATGAAATAACAGTTTTTAAGCACCGCAATGTGGAATCGAACCTCATGGATAACAATGAAATATGGCCAATTTAATAACAGTATATCTGCTATCGAATATTAGCAGTTGCAAGTTGGTAATAGTTGCAAGTTTGCATTTGCGTAACAGTTACTAGAATTACAACAACAACAACAACAAAAAAACAAAAAAACAAACAAAAAAACAACAACAACAAAACAACAACAACACACAATTGATGGTAGAAACATTTCACCGTTGTATTTCACATCAGTTTCTACCTTATCACTGTTGCTTCCAGCTTTGTAGGTTTTCCACAGATTACCATCCATACTATATCTGATAGTGTAGGTCTTCACCCACTTATCCATGGTGTGGTCACCCTGTGTTGCTATACCKGTCACTGTCATCACTTGTCCCARGTTAATCTGTATGTACTGAGTRTTAGAYGACGTGCTACTACACCAKGCGCTGCTGCCATAGAGACGACCATGTRATGCAGTATGGGTGTTGTCAAGGTGAGATGATGCCGTCATYTGRATGTYTTGAATGAYKCCAGGTACTTCGAGTCCAACAGGAAAGCTGCAAGCTGTGATGGCATGCATCTTATAAATTACTGCTTTTTTCGTTGGGTTAAAAAACAACGACACACAAATGATTGAAAATAAAAACTTACCTGATGATATGCCAAACACCTCTACTCTCATGGACGGCCATGCGTTAAATGTTAATGGATAGAATCGAACATACTTAGCTTTGATTGGATTGAGACTGTTTGTCACAACTCCATCGCGATTGATATTGCCAGTAAATGTCTAAAATGTAGGAAGTTAATGTAGAAAATAGTTAGTAATAAAGTATATAAAAAGCAACCCATTTTGTATCTTGTTACGTATTTACCTTGTTAATATTATTTTCCTGGTAATWATCCCAGTTCACATTATCYAAKGACACTTTYRTCTTGTATGATTTTATCCACTCATCATTAAGAGCCCCAGCACCTTGTGTAGCTACTGCACACACGAACACCACAGAACCGAGATCTATCTGCAGCCAGTCACCACCAGACTTTGTTTTTGGTGTCCAAGCTTTATCAGATGTTTTCAGCCTAGCATTGCTTGGTATGTAATTTCCGCCATATGAAGAACTGGCAGTAAACCTGTGRTCTGGKABGATACTAGGGTATGACAAACCAACGAACATTGATTTGCAACCTGTCGAAAAAAGATAACTATTATTTGTTTTAATCGATTTCAAAGCTTACAGTTAGTTTTGACTTAAAAAAAGAGTTTTCATCTCCATATAAAATCATGATTAACTTTATGTAAATTCATTAATTTATTTCTTTGCCTTTACTTAAATGATTAGAAGTTAGGAGTTTTCTATTTCTGTTTATTTTCCACACATATTTTCCATCCATCAAAAAACGTACCTCCATCGTGTTTTATTCCATAGAGTTCTGTTCTCATGCAGCTTGTACTCCCATAATGACTYKTGGATGCAACACKTATGTACTGACTAACAGTAYCATCATACAAGAGATTCTTGACTGTAGTATTAGAATCGAAGTTACCAGCAAAGGACTATTAGAATAAAAACTTTCAAAAGTCAACAGTCGTAGAGACAAAAGTCACTTTTGTTAGGAAAACCAAGTCTCCAACGATGTAGGCAATTTATACGGTATCCCAATTTTTTAGATTCAGGGAAGGATATTATATTATTCCACATATTATTTAAACTATATAGTTCATGATTTTAGGAGCAAGAAATTAAAAAGAAACAAAACGAAAAAGCAAAATTGTCAACTCAGTTAACGTTTGTTCATGATCACCTTAGCTTGTCTGTTTTCCAACATGGAAAGCAATTTCCCAGTTCATTTACCTTCACTTGGCTGTTTTCCATGTATTTAGTAAAAGTAGATCCGTCATTTGATGTGAGCATGTTGTAAGACTGTACCCACTGATCTGTCATGTGGTCACCCTGTGTTGCTATACCACAAATGATGTAAGGTGATCCTAAGTTAATCTGTAGATATGGAGAAGAGTCACTTGTAGCAGCACACCATGATGACCCTGCTGTGTAGTTTAGTCTTGCCTTGGATGGTGACGTGGTGCTGTTGTAAGCTGTTGATGACGTCATATCACTGTCTGGTATCTTACCACTACCAATACCAACTAGTAGAGAGCTGCACGACAAACCTGCAATAATGTCGAGTGTAGACTCTAAATAGTTTTATTTCTACTTTTTTTATATATTTTACTTTAGTTATATTTGAATTGGAATTTTAAATAAAGTGTACAAAGTATCAGTAGATACTTTTGTTTGATGCCCTTAAAAAAAACTTTTACCTAATATCAATATTATTATAAATGCTATTGTTATTTACTAATTACTTCAGTCAGTTAAAGTTTCTTCACACCATCGTGTAACTTAGTAAAAATCAGATCTAATCAGATTGAAAACATTCTTTACCAGACTTACCTCTGCGAACACCATAAGCTTCAACACGAAGTATCTTATAAACGTGATACTTTGTGGGTATAAACCTAATGTGTCTGACCAGAACTG